TCCCTTCAGAATTCCAAGTTCAATAAGACGCATCCGACAAAGATCGTCATTCATGGCTTTGGCGGTGGACGAAATTTGGCGCCCAGTACAGATTTACGAGATGGTGAGATTAATGATCTCCTACATTCTTGTGCATATGTGTGTGTGTGTGTGTGTGTGTAAAAATTTTACTTGATAAAATTCTAATAATATCAAGAAGATAATTTTATTATCAAGCACAATTCAAGATCTGTTTGGAGAAGATATAAAGAAAGATTAAAAATCCGGAATTTTGCTTTTATACAAATATAAATTTATATAGATCGTTAAATCTCTCTCGCGAAACAGAATAAACCTACGAGTACGAGTATAAGATGCAGAAATGAGAAAACGTCAGAGAGTGGCCGTTCAGCCATACGTAATTACGTTCAATTTCAGCGTATTTCACGCGAGGCGATTACAATATTATAATCGTGGATTATGGTTCGTTGGTACGCGAGCCCTGTCTCTCGCAGATCTCTTGGGGTCCAGATTTCTGCTCCCGGTGCATCGCTCAATTGGTCAAGTACCTGAGGGATCATCCGCGAGGTACGAGGGTGGAGAACATACACGTCCTTGGATACAGCGTGGGCGCGCATATCGGTGGACTCATCGCAAATTACTTGCCCAATGACAAACTCGGAAGAATTACGGGTAATTGCTCGTATGCAACCGATTTGCCGATTTCGCCAATTTAACCATCTAGACGTAACAGTCTTGTACTTGCTTGTTACAGCTAGTAGCTCGATCTAGCAAATTTGTCACGTTAATTTTTCTTATCGTTTTTCTTATCATCGTGTTGTGTCACAAAAAAAAATATCTCTTTTTACCTTCTTTAGAACGGCGGTCCGTGAGATTAAGACAAAATCGAGGAGAACAACGTATTTTACAAATTACAAAAACATTATTTGTTCCGTAGGAAAATAAGGAGTACACATCCTTTTATGTTACGTCTTGAGGATTAATAATTTGTCATAAAACCGGGCATTAATTCGAATAATTCGTCTCCTTCCTTTTTTTCTTACACGACGCAGGCCTCGATCCGACGATATTTTTCTACATGAACGGCAACCGCTCGATGGATTTAGACGAAACGGATGCCCATTTTGTGGACGTGATCCATACAGGCGCCGGCATTTTGGGACAATGGGGGCCAAACGGCCACGCGGATTTCTACGTAAACGGTGGCTCGAGTCAGCCCGGGTGCGCCACTTCTTCTATACTCCGTAAGTGATGAATGAGTGAAAAATATCGATCGCAGGCTGCCAATAATAAAACGCAAAGTCGAAAAAATTAACGACTAAAAATATTTCGCTGTTAAATTAACTTTAATTCAGGGAAGGATACGCGATTCGCGCGTGCATCCAAATATAAATATCGATATTTTTCTTCTTCGGCATTAAATTTTGAAAATTTCCCCCGTAGAAACGCTCTCGTGCGATCACACAAAAGTGACGCCGTACTACATAGAGTCAATCACGACGAAGAAGGGATTTTGGGCGGCTCCTTGCGCAAATCTCTTTTCTTACCTGATCGGATGGTGCAACCCCAAGAGAGACGAGTATATCCTGATGGGGGAGGATTCGCCTCATACGTAAGTGAATTTTATAGGGTTCCGCCTAATTGTTGCCTCTAAAAAAATAAGTTTACAAAAAAAAATGCCTGTTGACAATTTGAATGTGCATAACGTTCGCAAATATCAAGAAAGATATATTAATGCGTATGTGAATAATTGTAATAATAATTGTTGTATAAATGTGAACAGAGCACGCGGCATCTTCTATCTGTCAACAAACGCACACAAACCGTACGCCCGAGGACTGCCAGAAAAAAGCCAGCGTCGGACAAATCGGAAGCAATCGTCCTCCCGCCAGTATTAAGTCTGTTGAAGCAACTGATCAACATAATTATAGAATAGCGTGTAAATGAATCAGTCGTTTTAAGCCACGTACACACTACGTCGTTGAAAAGACTTT